ATAAGACACTTCGCCTTCTAATCCTATTTTTTCAAATTTGCTTTGTGTATATTGTTAACTGTATTATTCTGAGATATAAAATAATTATGTATAAACTTATAAAATCATTTAAAATTCAATAAAGTTGATATAATAAATGTTGCACATATTATATTATAAATAAATGAATTCCCACCCACTTCAGCATAATTCAAGTATAAAATATAATAAACAAGATTAACAAGGACAGGCGGCGTTCAATGAACGACTCAGGACGACCCCAAACAAAAACAGTACAGGGCGCAAGGCAGAACATGGACAGGCTAATCACCTAAATGATACATAAAATCTAAATAATAAAATATATGTGTGCTGCTCTGTAAAGTATGTTTTTTTAATTTTAAGTATTGAAAGTTGTTTGAAACTTATATAAGGCTGATTTAATATATAATGCAAGCTATATATTTATGTGTTGAAATAATTTGAGAATTTGCATAGAATTGGGAATAATTTAAGCGTTGAATAAATTTTATCGATCAGTACGTGTAAACACCTGTTTAAATTACGCTAGGTTAATTTGTGAGCCGCATATAACATCTGTTTCTGTATAAAAGTGCACAAGACAGTAAATATCAATAAATTAAAATAAAACAATGCATTTGCTTATAAAAACAAGCCGACTGACAATATCATTATCAGAATGTCAATGTCATCGCAATCGATTGAGAAATGCATTAAGAATCCACGGCAGTTTCTTGCTACGAAAAAAACAACAACAAAAAACACACACAAAACACACAAAAAAACAAAAACAATAAACAATACACGGAATAAACGTCCAAGTATAATTTGTATCTATAATGACACTACATTTTCTAAGGTAGTGCTAATATGTCCTACAAAATGTATAGTTCAATGATACTGAATCTAAAGTTAGTCTGAATTTCAGAGATATTGTACCGGACATTTCTTCAGATAAATTATTGTTTTGAGTTTCCCTTTTAATATGAAATGTGACATATTTAATAATGCTAATTTATTATGTATATAACTTTAAGTATATCATTCACATGATAAAAATATAATAAAATACCCGGTAAAGTTTGTTTTATACAACATGCCCAGTTCATCCCACTTTAGATATTTAAAAGCTTAAAAGAGACATAGTGAAAAAAGTAGAGTCAGTGTACAAATTCAATATATATATTACATTATTACTAAATACTCAACTTTATCATGTAAAATAAGGAAGAATCAATTAACAAAAAGTATGTGTGTAATAATGTATTGTCCTTACCCATAGAAATAATGGAACTATAGCTATGTTCCTAAGAAAATAGAATAAATTTTATGGACTTAATTATGTATTATGTACACAACAATTGCGTTTTTAGTGGTGTTTGTAAAACAGCTTTGTTTATGTCGTGTTTCAGGACCTCCGAGAGCATTGCCTCCAACACCCTAATATCCTTTTCGTTTTATTTGACCGTGCTTGACTGAGTTTATTGGTATAAAAAAAAACAGTTCAAAATATCTAAAAATGTTTAACAGGAATATTCTACCGAAGAAACCATATTGGACAAGGTTATAAAGTACCACCAGAATATCACTTCAATTAATTGTAAGTATACTTAAGGAAGTTATTTGTTAGTTCTCTTGGGGACTGTCTTTTATTTGTTCAGCGTATGACCCATACAACTATCTTCTAGTATCAATTATAGCAGTAATGATCGAAATTAAGACATGATCATTGCATCCTAATGAGGTTATCTTATGCAATTTTGTATAGGTTTATTCTTTTTATAACGAAGCTTGTCTACCTTTCAATAGAAACTTTGACAATGCTTTCCTGAAGTTGATTTTTAAGTTAAAGCAAATACAACGTATTGAGAAATAGGGACCGTCATTATTTTCTTACAAAATGAGTACAAACCTTTGTTTAAATGATAAGTGAATAATCATTTTCTTTGCTTTTGATTTTTTTCTGATACTTCACAATGGAATCCTGTCTGCGGCAATGTTGCTAAGGCATATATATTTTTAATTATCCTAAAAGGACCCAGGTTACCAATGTTCCAATAATAAAGGTATAATTCAGAAGGTTTAATTAGAAGCCAAACTGAATGACCGTTTGACATGATTAAACACAATCAAGAATATACACCGAATAACTTCTGGCCTGATGAATGTATTACATTCTGACATTTAATTTGAGAGAAGGTGAATAAACGAAAGAAATAGAGCGGGTTAACAAAAAAAGATGTTATTGTCAGCCTTAGAGATACTGAGATATGTCTCTTTACATTCTCAATAATGAACACGTTTAAAAGTGTGTAGACATACGAATAAGTATATCATTCTTTCACATTATATCCATATACATGTTCTGTGAATCATGATAAATCATGCGATAGTAATATTTTTATGCTCCGCCACAAATTGTGGGATTAGTTTGACTCTTCCTGTGATTCAAACATAAATAAGAAAATCAAAGCAACCTCATTATAATAATAGAAAACAACGCCACATCATAATAAGCAGATGATGTATCGATAAAAGACTTCCCGTCTTTCTAGTTCATAGGTCAAGGTCACAAAGGGGGTTGAACTAAATGTATACGTCATGAAGTCTTAGGCGCAGTTAAAGTTCGTGTATAGAATCTTTAAAAGAAGAAATCCTCCAAAAAACATCAAAACAGTTAAATTGGGGTGAAAAGTCCATTCGTCTATATTCATAACTGGATTTTAAAATAAATTTGTTCAAAATGCCGTCCAAGTCCTTTAGCTTAAAGTTCAATATCACTGCATGGCATTTAAATCAGTATTCTGATAAAAATTGTGAATATGATCGCCATAAGTAGACGGTAAGTTGGGTGAAAAGAATTCCTCCGCATCTTAAAGGTCAAGGTTATACTTAAAGGTCCTTAGAAGTCTCGTTCGGCTAATGACTTTTGTAGTTACTTGATGAATTGTTAAAAAAAATTTGACTTTCAGCAGTCCGACAATGAGAAGCGCAACATCCTTTTTATGATTCCTCTTGTTGACGGTAAAATTTTATATGGCGGGCATCCGTATCCTATTGACACGTGCATTAATTTTTAACTACCATGTTACAAAATGCGCAATTTAACTTCTGATGGAGTTAGTGGCAAAATGAGCCTGTAATGATTGGTCATAGAAGTGAAAAGGACAAATATGGATACAGTGACCTGACAGGCTTATGCCATTTTTGTTATGTAATTATAAGAGTCGGATCGTAATGATTGTAACATTCTTTTTTGTACACAGAAATCTCAGATAGCTGTTACTAAAATGTTCTGTTTGTTTCAGTAAGACCTCTCGTTTCAACGGTTGATTTGAGGTATATTGGATTGAACCGTAGAAGTTAAAATATGATAAACAAGATCAACAAGGAAAGGCGGCGTTCAATGAACGTTGCCTCCACACATCCACCAACAAAAGCCAGTGGCAAGGAGCCCAGGAGGACCCCAAACAAAAACAGGACAGGGCACAAGCCAGAGCATGGGCAGGTTAAGCACTAAAATCATACATATTAAGAAGAAATAATTAGTAACTGATAAGTTTATAGCTACTAGTACACAGAAATCTCAGATATCTGGTATTTAGGATGTAATATGGATAGGGATAATGAATAATGAACAATTTATTTTTGATAATTTAAGAATTTTACTTTTCGAAAAAATGAGAAAGAAGCATAGGTTTACCTACGGTGCTAGGGGGGAGTGGACGGTAAATTGCACTTGACACTACCGTCTATGAACAGGCTCAATGAAACCGAGCCTGCAAAATTTTCAAATTTTGCCGTAGGGATTCTTATTTTCTCTGTTTTGTCACCACATCAGCTTTGTTTGTGCCGTGTGGAGTTAATAAAAAGTCGCCCCGTACATATTAAATCACAGATGTTATATTTCTGATCCTCAAAGATCCTCAAAGATCGTTCAGCACGACATTTTTGTTGTGTTTGTGATATTTTTAGCTTTAACTATTACTTAAGGCATTTTCTAGTTGGGTGGTTCCAATATTCCTTCTCGAATAATGTTGAAATCCTTATGATATGTTGCCTGCTTTTTAATTTTGTGTTTTGACGTCCTATCTGTGATATGCAGGCTTCATAACCTCTGATCCTCTTTCAAAATTCCATTGTGTTTAGTCCGCCCATTGTACACTTGTTTAGGCTACACGATTTCTATTACTTGGGGACCATACGCTGCTTTTCATGGAATGGTAAGGACGTGTCACATTGAAGGTTCCATGATAACCGCCGTATGAACACATCTGCGGGTGTTTTTCAAATTAAAAAAAATTACCATTTCATTCTTAACCTAAGCCGAAGGTGGGGGAGGGGGGGGGACTGGGCAGTAGTTGTTTGCCCTTGACAGTACTGTCCATGAACAGGCTCAATTAAACCGAGTCTGCAACATTTTTAATTTCGCCGTTTTGGAATTTCTTTAGAGATTCCTATTTTCTCTATTTTATATTGATATTTGGTTTAATTTTGTTTTTTTTATATTAAATTGGTTCTTGGAATATAATTTGAATGATTTCAAGAATACAATAAGATTGCTGATTTGTATTTAATTATTTCGTTTTTATTTAGTTAGTATCCAATCATTAGGTCAAGAAACCCAAATAAAAACTTATATTGGAATATTTCTAATCAATACGGATAAGTATCCTGAGAATATCATTCTCAGTATCCAGTCATTTATCTGTCACCGATGATTCAGAAATGATAACTTGTGAGTTAGTAGTCGGTTATGTTGTAATCTAAGTGGTTAGTTTCCCAGTAAAGCCGGTTAGTTGCATTAACCAGTAAAATATGAAAAACAAGACGGCGTTAAATGAACGTAACCCCCTCACAACCAAGCAACACAGGACCACTAAAGAAAATTAAGTTATGAAAATAATAATAATAAAGTGGAAATAAATAAACACCGTTAGTAAGACATGAGCAAATAAGTGTTAAAAACTTAATCATAATAATGAGAACAAAGTCAGGCACTGACGTAAAGTTCTTGATATGAATATAATTTAGACATCTATTTACACTTACTTGAAAGATTGACGCAACTAAAAAGAAATAAAAGAAATCTGAAACAATTTTAAATGATTATGATTATTATTGGTTTTTTATTCACATCATAAAATTGAAGATACACTCTATATCTGAAGTGAATGTGCATTGTCCTAAATACATGATATCTGATGATTTCGTTTAATTACTTTCAAAGTCATCCTTCATAAACAGGTGCAGGCGTTCCTTTGGCACCGTGACCAGTTGCACGAAATACCGAGCCTGCTAATGGCGTTTCCTTCAACTCATCTCCTGTTACACCATACATAGAACATGTTATATACATCTCATCAAAGTTCTTCCCGCCAAAACAACATGACGTTGTTCTTTTAGCTGGAACATTTATTGCACCGATTTCTTTCCCTGAAAGACGTTATGAATATTGTGTCAATATTTCTAAGATTTTTACATTTAGTGATTACACAAAATACAGGATTTGTTTGGCCAATAAGCAATGCATTGTGTATTATCTATGTTTATCCCAATTTATTGTCATCTTTATTCCGATGCATAATTTTAATAGTTTTATTCATTCAAATTTCTGACAAGAAACGTGCAGTAAACATAATAATAAATATTTGTGGTCATGCCCTGTACATGTATAAGATCTTAAAATTCAAAATCTTGACAATATCTGCAGGCTATTTTATGTGATGTTTTTATTGATAACATATTGTAATGCATTGCGGTGCAAGAAAATGTTACCATGGACTTGCATAAGTAAAAGAAAATATAGTTATAAAGATAAGGTAAAGAAGAAAATATAATGGATTGCAATGACTTAAATGAATAACAAAATAGCATTGCTGAATGCGTATTGAAAAATATAATTAGTAATACCTGTTTCTGGATCAAATCGAAAAATCTTTGCTGCGAAAAAACAAGCAACCCATAACTTTCCCTCTGTGTCAATTGTCATACCATCAGGGTATCCATGGGTCTTCATAGTTTCCTCGCCACCAAGGTCAACTACAACACGTTCATTGCCTGAATATATATATATGTATAAAATTCACAAACAATGTCTACAACCTGACATTTTTAAAGAGAATATTATGAATATTAATTAGACAATACTTCAGTGAATCAAACACTTAGTCATAATGACGGCCTGGTAAAGTTTTGAAAATGATAAATGTCGCGCTCCCGCGTAAAGCGCCTTATGACACCGGTCTCTTTATTCGAAAAGCAAATACAAAAAAACTTTTGTACAAGAAAAGCGATGCTGCAACACTTTGTGTCTATTTATAACTACAGATCATTTTTGTATTGATAAAAAATGTTAATTTTCTTTTTTGTAAGGGATCTCCTCTTTTCAGGAACTTATTATAAAAATAGTGAAAAACAGAATCCCTAAAGAAAGCCCAACAAAACAAAATTGGTTTGATTGAGCCTGTCCATTGACGGTACTGGAAAGTGAAAGTTACCATCCACGCCCGCTCTCGTTAAGCGGGCCCGGGCTGTAAATGGGCATTGGACTTCTTAGATATATATGCACGGTAATTCACGACAATTGTAAGACAACAGGAATATTACTTAATAAAATTATAAAATGCCAATATGAAAAAACGTTAAATAAAATATACCAGTGTTTTACATTGGCATACTTACTCATTGTCCCTGTTGTTATATCAAAGTCATAACCAAATACTTTTCGTGGAATTGAATCTATATAATACATGGTTTTGTTGTCAGCCGTCCATGCCAGACCGTTAGAAATTGTGACCCCTTCTTTGTGTTTCTTAACTGAGCCATCGACTTCAAGACTGAAAAGTGACCCCTGATGCTTTTCAACTACAGCAGGAGTTTTCTCTAAACCCATTGTTCCTGGAAAATTAGGTTTAGCTCTGAAAAACGCCTAAAAAGGCAATAATATTGAAAATGCTGCAAGCTCAGTTTGATTGATACTGTTCAGAAGTAGTAATTGCCACATATCGTCCTCGACCCTAGCACCGGTTTAAGCAGAACTAAACATTCAAGCTTGATGCGACTTTGAAATGTTCGCGGTGACATGTTACCACTTACTCACTGCAGACATCAGTGGTCTAAATGCACCAAACATATTTAATTTAGTACTTTCCATTCTACTTTTTGACAACGGTTAGATGTATTGTCATTATCATTTAACTGGTTTTTAAAAAAACCGTATTGATATATAATAATATTATACACATATTTAAGAAAGGGCAATTATACCAAACCACAATCGTCCAGAGGCATCACATTTTCCGTCATTAATTCTGGTATCTTTTCCCTCATCAACCGTTGCGAGAGTTTTTAATTCTTTTGTATCCCAGTCAAAATGACAAATCGATTGCCCCACTGAGACTACATAGCCGCCTTTTTTACGTGGTACAACTAGGGTACAAAAAGTATCTGAAAACACGATAAACATGCGAAACAGTAAATTTTGAATAAGTTTCCTATGACTCCATCAACTATATGAATAAAATCAACAAGATAGAATATACTCACAGTATGTCATTTTGAATAAATTGCATCATACTTCTACTGAAACAGTAGTACAAACCAAGGTTCTTGGCAGTGGCTTGCACTTACCACTACCGTCTATAATCTGCACCATTTCCGTCTTTGCTTTTTTTCTTCAAGGTTCTGCTTTTCATTAGTTCACATACTTAATATTTAGAAGAAATTTTTAAAACATAGTAAAGTAGAAAGTGTACCAAATTTGTGCTTATCATCCTTTCCTGTCTCAGGTGACCATCGGTGCACGGAACCATCGTTGATATCAACGTATAGCAAGGTTTGAGTTCTTTCATCCCAGTGTGGTCCTTCACCAATTGTCAAGCAGCTACGCTCTATTACTGTTTCTACCTTTACGGACATATTTATTGTTTTACAGTGTATTGTATACTGTATCTCTGAAAATCAAGCACATGTTGTTATATCCCACTTATAAGAATGCAGCAATTATTAACGGTTGTAACTAATGCAACATTGACCTTTTATATTTCAAGCTTAACATCAATTTCGTAAATCGAAGTAGAAATTCCAGGATCTTTGATGATTAAAGTGCATAAACATTAAAACACATTTCCAGAAAGCAAACAACTATTTTATTTGCATGCTATTTATCACAAATTAATGCAGATTGGTATATGCAGACTCCTGCATTTAGATGTGTGTTGTTTGTAAAGTCTGTTTTGGATTAGCTATAGTTTAATGTCTGAATGTAACAAAATGAATTTAACATACAGACAAACGTCCGGCCACCATACGGTTTTCCCAGCTAATGTTGCACAATTTATAACAAATATTTTGAGCATTTATGTTTACTGGTAACTGACATATATAAAATATATGAAACAAGATGATCGACAAGGAAGAGCAACATTAAATGAAGGCAATTCGATGATAAGTCAACACTATCATGGTAAATACTGTATTGCAAGTTGTCTTAGTTTAGTTTTGACATAAATGCTCAAAATATTTGTTATAAATTGTGCAAAATAAGCTAGGAAAAACGGATGGTGGTCGGACGTTTGTCCGATTTCCTCTTCGATCAGGTAGGTACTTTTTCTGTGTTGACAAGCTCATATTTTTATTTTCAAACAGATAGTGAAATAGTATATATGTACATCAGCACCAACATGTAACATTTTTATTCGAGGCTACAACATTTATCAAAATATTGTCTCTGATGGAAATTGTGTGTTATACAAATTCGTTCATATATAAAAATATCAAAATTATTTCAAGTGTAACGTATAGTTGTCACATCGGCATTGATACGTATTTATTATTTATAAAGCAACATTAAACTGGAATAGAGTTTGTACTGCTTTACACGGACATAGATCATTAAAATATAAACACACGTTCTCTTTTAAATTTAGTTTAAAACCTTGGTATAATGTTAGTTAAATTTTCTTACCTTGTATAGCCACACAGTTTAAAAGCTCAAGAGTTGAGTGAAGATAACGAGTATAAGATCAACTTGGCTATCTTTATCACACTTTATCTTGTAAAGCAAATAACCATTGGAGGATATAAACACGGTAGGGAATCACCTGACTTTAACAGTAAGGCGTACTACGATATGACAGCCTAAACACATGTATTTTTCATGTAATTATTTAGCAATTTCTTTTTGTAATTCTTATTGCTGGGTTACGTTCATTGAACGCCACCTTTTTTTTTGATCTTGTTTATCATATTTTAGTAAATCTCATATAGTTACATAAGAGACCTGCTGTAGCCTACGCGGAATGGAGAATTGTACACATTTAAATCTGAATGAATTTTTTAGTGTTTGTAAAAACTATAACCAGTAAGGTGTAGGCGACACTAATTATATCGCGTAGGTTGCAAAATGTCTCGTATGTAGGTATAGGGGATATAATAAAGAATAAACTGAAAAACGCATGTGAAGCGATGTGTTTAGGTCACCATATCAACAGTACGCGATACCGTAAAAGTCACGTGATTCATTACAGTAATAAAGGGAGGTAACTTAATGATAACATTTGAAATGAGGACGACTAAGTGCAGGACAACTTAATATATTACCTATACTTACGTAGGATAGTATGTAAAGATAAAAAACAACGAAATTTATCAAAACCATGTTTTGCTTTAATAAGCTTGATCAGTTAATATGATAAATAACAGAGGAAATCACTTCCAAAGCAAAACAGATGTCCACGTTAATACACGCCACATTTTGGCGCGTATAAGAAACGTTATATAATAAAATAATTCGTCTATAACTATTTTATGCAATAAAATATGAACATTTGTATATATAGACGTAATTATTTTAAGAGTACATATAATTTTCGATAGATTATCATAAAATAACTGGATTTTATGATGCATACATTTTCAAAGAGAAATTAGGCTAGTCAATAAATTCAACAAGTGTGAAAAAAAAACAGTTACATGTACCTATGTGAAAAATTAGAATTTCGAAAATTACTTGCTTTCATCATATTTTGAAATTGTACAAAGAGAGATAAAAATTGAGAAAGCATCGCTATCATTCAGTATATCTTATAAAGCTAATACAATAAAATGAAAATTGTCTATCTATTATCTATTCAACATAATGCGGTTCAAAATTTAGTTATAAGAATACAAAAAATCAGTGACCATATAAGTACATTATGAATAATGTAGTATATAAATGTAAACACCAATAAAGGGAGGTAATTAAATAATTATGTCATCGACATAAATGCTGTAATTGTATCAATTAACAAAATGTAAACATTCCTAGATACAATAAGTATGTATTAGAATAGAAATGTTATTTTTATGCCGATACGCACTGAAACAGATATTTTGATTCAAGTATATTTATTTGGAAAATTATTTTACAATTTATAAAGTATTTTTGCTTTTAAACTTTTTGGACAAAATGTTTTCAATTCATAGATCCAATATGTCTTTTTCAAAAGTCTCCCAATATTTTCAACTTTTTATCGGCATGAAGGAAAAGTCACAAAAGCACAGAAATTCCATATCAAATTTTTATTTAACATAATCTAGGTTTTTGTTTATTTTCCGTGTCCAACAAAATCAATATCAAATCATTATTCTACTCCGTTTACCCTAACTTTGGTGTCCGAAAACTCCATAAAAATCCATATTGTACTTAGTTTAAGTTAGTTTATACATTATGCGATTATGTAGGAAGATATAAGCCTACAGACACGCTCTCGTATCCGTTCATGCACCTGGCAAACATATGATATGTATAAAGTTCAAATCAAGTTCCTTGTCATAAATGTCAGATTTATTTATAATATTGTTCTTTTTATAAAATAAAAGTTGTCAATTTGATAAATATGAGAAGCTAAACTAAATGTCTTTGCACTCTGAGTGCTAATAATTCACACTCGGCTAGAACAAAAAATGTGAATCAAAGATCATCAAGTCAAGGCAACGTTCACAGAACGCAGATCCCTACAAAATCCAGTCACACCAGTAGAGTACCCAGAAGGCACCGATATATAAATTGGGAGAGGATACAAGGACGGTGAAAGGAAGGGGATATGTTATATTAAGTAACATGATAAGAACTGAAATGTGTTTTGTCAAATATAGGTTAGCCGATAATGAATATTTATAACCCTAATAATATATATGATATCATCAAAACATGAATTTTCAGACAATGCTGTATACAGATATCTTTCTAGCGAGTGCTTAATTTAAAGGTTTTGCTGATCGTGTTCTCTTTGTAAAATAGCTATTTCAAACTTCTACAATTAAATGTATAATTATTTAGATAATGGTTTCATTGGATTAATATACCTTTTTAATTAATTAAATTTGGCGGAATTTAAATACTGCATAATAGATCAATATCACACGGTAAAGAGATATGTCCTTTCTTTATGAGAAACGTGTTTTTGCTATATGTCTCCATTCGTGAACCTAGACGTCTAATACTTTCCTAAAACCACAAACTAACCTTGAAGTCCTATTATAGCATGTCTCAAATTCATTTCGAAGCCATATATTTAATGAAGGTTGTGTTTGAGATGAAAATAAATTTATATGGTAATAAAAAGGTTATATCAATGGATTGGTTCAATGCCATGCAATATATTGAATATTAGCCGCGTCATGACAAAACCAACATAATGCGTTTGCGACCAGCATGGACCCAGACCAGCTACTAAATACTTGGTTGTAATAACATAGATTGCCTTTTGCATCCGCACCCTTTTGAGGATTCACTTTTTTTCTGTATTTAAGCTGACAAATATAAAAGCCTTTCATTTTCAAAGGCTGGTAAAATATGTTCAACGAATGAAAATACAGAGACTCGAGCGCATTGTATCAGCTAAAAAGTTACAGGGATTATCCTTAGAATTATCTAGAGAATACTAATCTTCTAAATATTCAAGTTGAAAAGTAAATTGAATATGAGCCGCGTCATGACAAAACCAACATAATGCGTTTGCGACCAGCATGGATCCAGATCAGCCTGCGCATCAGCGCTGTCTAATCAGGATCCATGATGTTCGCTATCAGTTTCTCTACTTGTAATAGGGTTTGTTAGCGAAAAGCATGGATCCTGATCAGACTGCGCGGATGCGCAGGCTGGTCTGGATCCATGCTGGTCGCAAACCCATTATGTTGGTTTTGTCATGACGCGGCTCATATATTGTTTCCTACTGAATTATGAAATGCGATTCTGTATTTACATTTTTAATAAGCAAAATCTTTTTCAGTTATTTTATGAGAGTAAAATGAGATATACAGAGGGAAAGAAACATGTGGGATACAGAAAGAAGAAATAATAATAAAAGACCATTTATTTTGTATCATATATTTTAACAACGGCGTTGCTCTTTCTGTAAAGTTGTAAAACAATCCGTTGATTATGTATTTAAAAGAGGGATATATACATGTTAATTACCAAAAAGCAAACCTTGCTGGCCGGATGATTAAGTTCGCTGACACCAAATTACGTGTCTACCTACCTGTGTCGACAGTGACTTCGGATTCGTATCTGTTAACTATCTATCTAGACAGTTAACGAAATGCTGATTTTTATTATATTTATTAGGTACCTGTTTGTTCTTGCAATATTGGCAGGGGGAAGCACCACTTTATGTTTCTTTCCATAAATGAAGCACAAATATTTATAATGTCGATGTGATTTTAAACCCAACATGAATTTATATAGAAATTACGTCAGACTTTAACCTGATTTTAACATCATATTGAAAAACCCCTGCACGGAATTAGACCAAACCCGTTGTAGTCTAGAAAGAAGTTCTTTTAAAGGGATATTCAGGCAAAATAATGACAAAAATATTAAAATGATCTTTTGTACTCAAATCACTCTTAAATGGCTTTTCTTAAAGTTTCACCATTTTTACTTTTTAATGTTCTTTATTATTTTTGAGAAGTAAAATATACAAAAATAACATGTTACAGAAAGAAATAATAATAAAATCACCAAATAGTTTTTAAAGCAAGTCATTGTTCTTGAACATACGTTAAAAAACGTTATATATAACGAGGGTATATACATGTTATTGATAAAAACAAAGCCAAATGCTGGCCATTTAAGTTCCCTTTAACATTTCAGATGTTCCTACTTGTGACATACTTGTTGAAATGGATCTAGCTATCTTATCTGACCACGCGTGTCAAGTTATAATACCACCTGTTTTGTTCTTGATATTGGCAGGGAAGCATTTTGATTCCTTTAATGACAAATTATTATTTTCGAGTGATTTAAACAGAATTCAATAAATACGAGAAAATTACAAATACTAAGAGAATTAGAAAATTTAGCCTGAAGAAGTCTCCTTTAAATTTTGAACTGGTCGAATTTAAGTAATCTCATTAAAGTCTATTTATTGTATTCTGTGTAGTTTTTTTGTTTTATATGGAATTTTAAAAGTTGTTTTTTTGTGTATTCTCTAGGACCTCATTTGTTGGCGGAAGGATTTAAGATGTGCTACCCACCAATAGTCAGGAGTGTTTTAAGTGGTGAATTTAAACAGTGTTACATTTCTGAAAAAAGTAGATGGCTCACACATTGTATTTCGTGAATCATTTGACTTAGATAGTGTTGATTTTTTAAGTTGATGACTGTATATAATTCATCAAGAACTGTGGAATCCAGAATTAAGCCTCAAATATAACTGATTTACTATAGAACAAAGAGTACGATAAGTCACTTGTCCTAGACCATATCGGCTAATGAATGGATTCCTATTTAAGACATTTGTCACTATTTTTATCCATGTTTTAACGATATTATATTTAATGCTAAACTGTCGAGGATAAAACACACTGTCTGCAAAACAATATTTTTGTTCGACTTATTTTCTGCCACCAAAATGATAACAGAAATTTCAAAGGAACTAATACAATATAATACATTATCACATAAACCCCGGCGCGGGAGTGTAATAAAGCCATTTAATAAAAACGATATTACACTAGTGTAATAACACTTTGACGTGACGTCATTTGAGCTATATAGAAACATAGCGTTAAAGCGCGCTAATGTTA